AAAAAACTGATTATCATTAAATTTCACAAGAGTTTTCGGCTATGCTGTATTAAACACGCAGAGTGTAACAAATTCTATACAAGAGGTACCATGCACAGCTAACTGGCAACTCAACTGGCGCTGCCTTTCACTTTTCTCTCAATAAACAGTAAAATTGAAGTCGGGACGCAGTGCTAGCTTTTGTGTAGATTATGTACTCTTAAGTCTAGCCACACCGCGAGGCTTTTCCTGTCTTTGTTTAAGTTAGTTGGACAGATTGAATAGTGCACAAGAATTTAAGTGATAAAGAAAACCATAAAAATTATTCACTTACAAAAAGAAAAGTAACTCAACGCAGCCTAATGCTTATATACAATAAAAACTAGAAAGTAGACGAGAGTAGTTCCCATTTAATATGTATATTTTCAGTAAGCAGGCATTGAAAGTCTTACAAATGAGATAACTAAAATATAAAGAGTTCAGAAATTATATATGATATATAAACTTTATCTATATATCCGCCTATAGTAATGCCACAATCTCATTTCCTTGCCTAGAATTATTGAAATATGAGCTATTCACACGGTTCAGGGTATCTCTTAGTCGGGAAGTTATAGAATGTTTCCAAAACGACCGTCGCCTTCAAAAATTCGGAGAACTACGAATTTGTCTGCTTTGACAATTTAGATCTACGTCTTTCACCACATAGCGTACTTAATTGATCATGAAAAGCTAACTGCAATAAATCGTTGAATTTAATTTATTTGGTTTCCAGTAATGGTAGCCTTTCAATGAACAACCTAATTGAAAATAGGTTTCGAAAATACATAAACTTGGCTCTCGTCTCTATGTTCACCAAATATGTTTCTACTTTTTGTATTGTTATTGCTTATTTATTATATATTATTGCGCGTAGGCAGAATATCTTAAAACGGAATCTAGTCTTGTAACAGTCTTATTCCTAGAATATGTTCACTATTTCGTACAATTTCGAGTATTTATATTCTGCAATATTTTGAAATGATAAATGCGGTTGAGGAAAGCTCCTACCAGAACACCACAATTCTTCATATATGAGTAGGTAAATTTTGTAATGTTAAAAATCTCGTACTTACGCAATAATTAGTTCAGGCTCTGTCTCTGTTTAATTTATTGCTTTCAGGTTCATAACTTATACGTATTTCCTGAAAGTGAAAAATATATGACTATCCCCATTAGTAATTTATTTCGTGAATAAGCGAGTATATTTTTAAAGCATACATCAATAATACACACTCATATACGTATATACATATACACTGCACTCCCTCTACTTTCGAAAAACTGGAATTGGGCAAGAACGTTTTATACTGAGCTAATTTGGAAACCTTACGAAAGCCAGTTATTCATTTTAAATTTGTGCTTGCACTTTGGGCTAATTATTCTTAGGCCTGAGGTAGTTAGTTAAGCAATGAGCCGCCCGGTTAAAATGCAGTAAAAACAATAAACCTGAAACCTCTCTCTACGTAAAATAAAGTCGAGGAAAATGTTTACCCTAAATGTAAATAAATCAGAAAAAGCTAGCGCCAAAAGAAAAAAAATGGAGTGCCCCTGGCTATAATTAAATAGACAGTTCAAAAACCAAAATAAAAAAGAAAAGTTGTCTGCGTTGTCTGAAAGGTGTTTAAATGCTTCAACTTTATACCGCGCACTCACCCAATTTGTAATGGATAGGTGTGTATAAAAGCCTTACGAATATATCTATGTAAAAGAAAAAAGCATTTGAATTTTTGAAAGGAAGACCGCTGGGTATATTTGAGCGGAATATTTGTCCACCAAACTAAAAACTTCATATAAACTAAATTTTATCTTTACTATTGTTGAGAGTCTAATCTGGTAACGCCCACAGTTTTCAAAGAATGAGGCTGCAAAGGCGTCGTTCGGCTAAAATACACAGAATGCGCATTTTAAGTGAATAAACTTGGCTTACTTGACCCGACAAGGCAGACGATGCTGCTCAGCAATTAGGCAAGGCGTCGCAGAGGGGCACAGCGATGAGCAGAGATGTCTATGAAAGACGGCCAATCTATTTTTAAGCTCGTCCAGTGGGCTGTCCTACAGCAATGTGGGCTACAGTGAACTGTGCAAAGGCGTTGCTGCACTCCATTGGCCCGGGATGGTGTCATGTTGCACTCATAGACCTACCAGAACTCCCAAGTTATAGTGATTGTTCGGCATAGTAGGTCGTCATCGTCGTTTGTAAAGTAAAAATAAAAGTAAAAATAGCGTATCCAAGAATATTTGTACACTTCCTGTGTTCCACGGAAATGTGTGCCAATTGCTTGAACAGAACAAGAAGCTCAAAAGTACATGAATGCGTTTGGGTATGGTCGGAGCCAATTAAAAGTTGATTTAAAAATTGATTTGCTGCCGTCAGCATATCAAGTTTCTCCTAATGCTGATGATGAAAGTGATTCACTATATCCGAGCCATAGCCAAATACAACATGCAACATGGTGCACAAGCCGCCAGCCGTCTGTCAGTCAGTCTTGAAAACTCTTTTTTTTTAAAATTTGTGAAGCCGACACTCGGCTTCTAATGGACAGGCTCTAACGGTAACACAGAAAAGCTACACAAAGAAAACCCAAGATTCACTAAAGCGTAACTACTTTATACATTGGTTAGAGCATGAAAGAGCAATTATTTTCGCCGTGACGAAGATTAAATGCTCTTGTATATGATACTGTTGCCAACCTCTCATTTCGAGCATTTGAAGGTAGTTTAAGTGTTAAAAAAATAAATAAATAAAAACTAGAAAGTTAAATATATTAATCTGTGATTATCTCAGCGTGGTTTTGCTTCAATCAATATCTCTTATCTGATCAACTGTTGGAGACGGGTCTAATACAAATTAAATCCAATTGCCTTTCGCTAAAGATAATATGGCTCTGAGCCGCAGATGTCAATAAATGTGTTGATTTAGATTGTCTTTAAACCCTTACAACTGTTTACCTCGTTTACCTTTTCTTTAGAAAGAAGAAACGCAGTCAGTCAATGTCTTATGAATTTTCTAACGACTGCCAGGTACGTTGTGACACATTAAACACCTGTAAACTCAGTTTACGCTCAAAACAGACTAACCGTTCGTTACTCGATCATCATTATATAAAGAAAACACCCTTACTCCCATTGTTTTTAGATTCGGTATATAAACAGCAAAGGCGATTTCAATATCAAAATGTTAGTGTTAACATAACATACACCATAACAGAGAAGCCCATGAGCTTTAAAGGGACTTAGGATGCCATTCGAAAAAACTACCGAAGACAAAACTATTAACTTATTCTGTAATATACATTTTGACTTATGTTGTCAGTTGTTCTGTTCTCATTTGAGTTGCGTTTCATAGCACAGAGAGAGAGAGAGAGAGGGAGAGAGAGAGAGAGAGAGTTATGCGGTCTTAGTTTCAATCAGCTGTACTTTGTTTTTTATTTTGACACGACTCTCAAACAGTGGACGAGTATATAGTAGTGGGCATGTGTTAGTGCACATGTATGCATATACTTACAAAGCGAACGATGCTCTGTCCCTTTCTCTCTCTCTGTCTCTCCCTCTCTGAGCGAGCGAGTTTGTACTTGCCTTACTCACTGTGAATCGATAAGACTTGGCCGGTGTTCGTGTAGCTGTCGCTGGTGGTGGTAATAAATGCTTTTCACTTTTCCCGATGCACTCCAGTCATCAGCTTCATATTGAAGCGTTCACAACGTAAGCGAACGCAGAGCGCATAGCCAGACAACGTATACAGATAAATGAAAATTTAAAAGCTGTTGGCTTTATTCCTTGCAATTTGTATTAAAGCATTAATCCGACTCCAAATCATATTTAAAAATAGCTTGTGTATTCTGAAAGCTTTTCAGATTATAAAATACAAAAAGTGAATAATTACTTTGTGAGTTTGTTGTGTTTTCCCTCCCTAACTAAATATAAACAAGATAAACCAAAACAAGAATTCAAAATTTGCTAATTGCTATCGAAATGTGAGCTTATTTCGGGAATATTCCTTTTAAATTTCCTTCAAAATCATGATATTCGCATCCGTGTGCCATTTCCACATATATTTATTGATTTTTTTTCTCAACCGTGCGCACACAGCATCCGTTGCACGCATTTGCTGCAGCACTTGCAGCATGAGTCATCAACATGCTGCAGGCTCCTCTCAAAATTTATCTGACGGCTCACACAGATTGAATTTGCAAATTTTCCCCCATGCCTTATACTGATTGTGTTCGTGTATCTTTAAGATTTCCGCAGTATAAATACATCAAGCATATATACTTCTATATACAATTAAACCGGATATCGGGCATAACATACAGATTTATAGCATGGCTACTTATGCTGCATTCAAACATGTTGAACTTTACAATGTCGGCAAAGCCAAAAAGAGGTAAGTCTTAAATTTCCAAATTGATTTCCCCAAATTCCTGCGTAAATTTACATATAAACACCAATGCGACTGTATGGTATGCATGGAAATATGCAGTTTTGTGGTTGTGCAGTAATTTATCGTGCATTCACCTTGGGCTTCCCCCACATGTGGGCATGCAGGTTCTTCAGCCCAGTCTGCTGACTGGCACCAAGAATGTATCTTTGTCGGGCCTCTGCTGCCCGTTGCTGGCTACCCGCAGCCGGCCTGGCGCTAAGACTAAGCAGTTCATTGATTTTTCGATTTGCTTTTCAATCCCTGCTTACTTTTTGCTTGCAAAAAGCTGGCTGCCTGCCTGCTTGCCTCTCCCATACCTGGACTGTGTCTATTCCGAACATTTCCCTAATGACCCGTCGACTCGTTTCTTTTTTGTTTTGTTAACCATCACTGAGATAATAAAACGAGCAAACAAGAAATTCTGTAGTGAAAGGTGACCATCGTGGAACAAAGTATACTCTGTTTCCCGCTTACTTTCGTCCTGATAATCAGTAATAATATTCGATCAAACGAAGAATATTATAGAATATAAT